TTCTTTCATATTCAGTTCTACTCTCATCCTGTTCAGTCTGTCGCTTCATGCCTTTAAAATTGTGGGGAGGGGGAACCTCTCGTGCTGGTATTACTTACTTACTTATGCAGCTGAGTCCTTCTTGAGGAGCCGCCAATTCTGTAGCTACTCAAGAATTTCCCAGCATTTTATGGAACCCGAAGGTTCATTACCGTGTTCACAAGAGCCCTCCACTGGTCCCCATCCTGAGCCAGATCAATCCAATCCATCTCATCCTAGCTCTAAGATCTATTTTAATATTGCCTACCCACCTTGTTCTTCCCAGTGGTCTCTCTCCTTCTGGCTTTCCCACCAATATCCTATATGCATTCTTCGTATCCTCCATTCGTGCTACACGCCCTGCCCACCTCAATCGTGCTGGTATTAGTTAGTTAGTTATTGGAGAGGGTGGGTTTACCCATGCACTTAGACCTGTGTTGGTCCATTGTGCTTCCCTCTATGATTTATACCAGTCTCTATATCCTACCGGTACTGGTGCTTACCATCAGTCCCGCCCAGCCAGCGAGATCGGCTCTACTAGCTGAGAGGTATCTATAATGCTTCCCCCATCTACCAGAGGTATTAGAGACTGCTGTTGGGCGGGAAACGTCCGTTAATTTGGCNTTCCTTTGGTTCTATGAGGTTCTTTTACGTGCCGTAAAGCTACGACACGGGACCCACGGCTTAAAGTCCCTCCCGGAGGACTTGTTTCCTGAATTTTCCCCCCCTTAAAAATTCTACGACCTCCGCCGGGTATTTGAACCCGCGTACTACGAGTCATGAGGTGGGAACGTTACCTCTAGACTACGGAGGCCGCTATCGTGCTGGTATTACTAATATAAATAGAAAATATTTTTGGCTATAAATTTGGGTGTTTCCTTAAATTCAGAACTCGTGAAATTTCTACTCCATGTTTAGTCGACCTCTTGAATTTGTAGCAAACTTTTTTGGTGGCAATTGTTATCTCGTCCGATATGTATCTTTATCCAACAAATTTCGTTTTAGAAAAAATATATCTCAAGCTACAATAACTACTTGTCCTTTATCAAATATTTTATTAATAATCATTTTAATTGTTCGCTATATTACACTGAGACATGCCGCCTGAAAACCGTAATAGTGGAGCGAGAAGAGAAGGCCGATAGTCTCTATATATTTAAGCTCCAAATCACAAGTCATGCATTCGTGCTGCATCTGTGGGGTGTATAACAGGGCCGCGTTATTACAGAGTAGTACATACTTTCTTCCACTTCGCCCCCTATTTTCGAGACCAGAGAAATATTTCGAAAAATTTCAACCAAATTCAATTTCAGAAAGCACGCGTTTTACTTCAGGCCACAGTGACATTCTTCCAGATCGATGATTGAAAACCGGCCCATCAGTTGATACTATAAAACCTATGCAGCTAGAAAAACGTCGTTGTATATCCAACAACAAAACATTATCCCCATCAGTCTTGAACCTTTTCTCATTCAAGGTCAAGACCGAAAGCTTCCGTCACGCCTGCTGATGCAGCCCATCACACTATTACTGAAGATGACATATATGTATGTATTCGTTACGTAAGCAGTTGCAACCTCGTGTCCTGTAACAGCTGCAGTGATTGGTCTCCCTACATGGACACTGTTACAGGCCTGAACACGACACACACCACTGGTGAAAAGGGCCCGTTGAAAATTCAACTGGAAGTCTCTTAACTTCTTTTATTTCCTACCCTCCTTTATCCCGTATTTCCATGCCATCCCTTTTATTTGTCCCAGATGTCACATTACGTACACGCCGAGGTCTCGTAAGGACTGCAGGACATTCCCAGGAACTGTGTTCTCTGGGAGTGCATAGCGCTTCGCCAGTGATAGCTATCCCTGTAAGGGCCCCATACACACACAGTTTGGCCTCCAGTTCTGCCTGCACAGTTGAAGACTGAAAGGCAAAACTGACGTGTGTGGTACGGCCGGCCGGCCGGCCAATCGTTTGGACTGTTGGCCTGTGGGAAACCCGTCAGTCCGCCAGTTCTGCCTGCAGGACCGTAGCACGTGACGTGTGTGACTCAACATTATAGGCTGGAAGACCGTGATTGTGGCATGAAGCCTGCCGCTTTATCTGCGCGTGTATGGGGAGGAAAGGGAGGGGGTAAACTGTCACAGTTTTGCCTGTAAGGTCGATCGGAAGGCCAAACTGTATGGGGGGGCCTAACAGGCCGTGGAGGCTCACAGGGTTGAGACGTCGAGGCTCCCACATTTTCTAGACAATCAGCTCACAGAAGACGATGACGTTGTCAGCATTAAGCGCCGGCAGCCCGCCCTTTAACGCCAGGAAGATTCCTGGTATTCATTTCTGTTAGAGGCTGAGTAGACCCTAGGGCCATAGTGCGGCTGGAAGGATTAGGTACACTGAAAAATTCAATGACCTCATCGGTAATCGAACCCGCTTCTAGCATCGAAAATGTAAAGCTATCCCTGTAACAGGCCGTGGAGGTCTATAAGGTTGCGAGACGTCGAGGTTCCCATATTTTCTAGACAATCGGCTCACAGATGACGGTGAGGTCAGCCTTACCGGTAGGAGACCAACTCGCGGGGTAACCTGATAAACGAAAACCTACCAGTAATTTTAATGGTGATTGGGACCCCTGTTACACATGGTAAGGCGTTTCTTCAAGTTGAGGATGAGGAAGACTTCTTGCATTTCTCTGTATCTCCGGCTCGAATGTAGGCCTACGTTATTACTGTCTATTCACCTTCAGAATTCTTGCCGCCTAACATGGCTTAAGGAACCCAATTTCTTACGTAGGATCGCTAATTTGGCGGTATTCCTTCTACTTAAACTATGTCATCTTGATTTTCCTGGCCTCTGTTGTTCTCCAGGAGCTGAAGAAATGTATTTCTGAGGTGGAAGCACCCACAAGACGGAATTCCTTTCGTCTTTGTGACTGAGGAACTGATTGAGAGCACAATCATATCAAAATATCCGCTTTGCTGCTACACAATCAAAACTGTGTACAGGTTTCATACGGAATTTTCATGAACAATAGGAGTTGCCGTGTTCTGGAAACTGCACTAACCACAACGCTGGCACTTTCAGAACTTGTTATAGACATCTAGTGTTTAAGCGTGTTAGTTAGTTATTAGAGAGGGTGGGTTTCCCCACGCACTTAGACCTGTAGTGGTCCATTGTGCTTCCCTCTATGATTTCTACCAGTCTCTATATCCTACTGGTATTGGTGCTTACCATCAGTCCCGCCCAGCCAGCGAGACCGGCTCTACTGGCTGAGAGGTATCTATAATGCTTCCCCCATCTACCAGAGGTATTAGTGACTGCTGTTGGGCGGGAACCGTCCGCAATTTTGGCTCAGTGACACGGGACCCACGGCTTAAAGTCCCTCCCGGAGGACTTGTTCCCTGAATTTTTCCGCCCTTAAAAATTCGACGACCTCCGCCGGGTATTTGAACCCGCGTACTACGAGTCATGAGGTGGGAACGTTACCTCTAGACTACGGAGGCCGCTGTTTAAGCGTGTTAGAACGAGCATTATGCGGTTGGAAGCCGGCCTAACACCAATGCACCTTCAATGGAAACGGCGTGCAACTAATTTACACCTGCCTTCACGGCCTATGCATTTTAAAAAGTATATTTAAAAACTCGTAACCCCCCCCCCCCAATACTCCTTCATTACGTAGTGCTAATTCTCTGAACACAAGGGCAACTTTACCTTTTTTACCTTCAACATTTGTTTCTTGGGCACTTTAATGGGATTCCAATGGATCTTTCACTGAATTGGTAACCTGAAAATACATTTTTTATGCTTTATTTTACGATGTTGCAAGTGAAACGACGTATGTCTGCATTATTTCTCTTGTCTTGTCACAACTTCAATATCCCTTCACCAAATAGTGATTTACAGTCACTGCGTTACAACACAGAGAAGAGACCTGCAAATGCCACTGCAGCCACTCCAGTTCCCGGCGCTTGTCAGATGCGTGTAAACTTATCCGTGTTCATCACCACAATCACAACGTAACTCCAAGACACAAGACATCCTTGGGCTGCTGATAGTTATCGAATTTGTCGAAACGTTGGCGCTTTTAAGAAACCCGCAGTTCATCATCACAGATGAACCTTTCCCTGAAGCAGCCAAATACATTCTAAAACTTCACGCCATAGTGTCCTAAGATCAATTTTAATATTATACTCCAACAGATTTAGGTCTGTCAAATGCTCCATTGTCTTGCGGTTTTCCAGTCAAATTTTGTATGTATCTGTAATGTTTTCTATGCGTCCTTGCTACAAATCACACACATTTCAGACTTTTTTTTTTAATTTAAAACCATCGGAGACAAAAGGGACGCAAGGATCAGTTCGTCTAACACATAGGTCGGAACAGGCCAAAAGGCCTAAACCTTGCAGCTGATGACGTCAATGAACGATTATTAACTTCCTCATTATGTAATATTTGTTTCCAGTTCTTTGTCACTTTGTCACTTCTACGTCCATGGATGTCCTTCAGCGCCTATATCACATCCTTAATCTGCTACCCTGTCACTCGACCAAGCACAGTGCCTCACCCCTACAACTTGTATTCGGGAAGTCTCCGATTCGAAGCTCGGCCACGACACCGACAATCCTACTTCATACTTTTCTTCACTCCCTCCAGTCAGAACTAGGATATTAGTGCACATAAACCGGCAACGACCACTTCCTCGTCATTTTCACTTAATTATTCACAGATTATCTTACAATTCGGTGAGCTAAAGTCTTGAAATCCTGACAGTATCGATAAGGACCACAGTCGCATAGTCTCCTCCTACAAAATGAACCATCTCCACTCAAAGCAACAGACAATACAACAAGACGGCGTAACACAGCGCCAAATGCCTGTACAGCAGGAGGAAACTCTTTGGATTAAACATTTGGTAGCTTCCAATTTCCAATCAAGTACCTAACATACAAGCACAAACTGTTTACAGAAATGTGAATGCAGGCACTTACCGAAGTATACTGGTTTCTGGCACTTGGGGCAGTTGGGCATGGTGACCTGTGTAAGCAGACACAATTATATTCTTACGCGTCCTCTTCTGATGACCACAAGTCGTTGTGTAAGTACATGCAGGCAAGCCACACTCGCTGCAGTCAGGTTTTCCACTGCTATCGTAATGGAAAGCATTATCCGGTTATGGAGGACGAAGGAAAGAGACAGAACGAGAAAGAGATACTGAGAAAGAAAGAGAGAGAGATATGAGTCAAAGAGAATCGTCAGAAAGAATGATCACTTTCACGTATCTCTTGTGAAGCATCATAATCAACTAATCAATTCCATGGGACCTGAACTTCCTTCACGGATAATCAGCTGATGAAGGATTTTCTTGGTGTTACGGTCCCCGGAGGGTCATAACAGTCATCACAAAAGCTCACCACTGGATCCTATGCCGAGCCAGATGAATTCATGTCTTTTACGACTTAAGGTGTATTTGTATTGAAAGTTTACAAGTGTCTGTTATGCTCTCTTATCGCAGAGGCTAACTAGTTGGTGTTGTTATATTCTACCAGTTAGCAGACAACCAACTGTGTGACTCACAGAGTGAACCAACAACTAAATACATGAAAATAAATAAGAGCCCAAGCAAATAACAAACTAGTCAGTCAACTGGATAAAAACCAACAAACTCTCTGGAAATAAAACACGACATGTCCAGACATAAGGAGCCAGTGGACCTCACCGTCAGGTCAGTCAGTTCATATCCCCACAACAAATGCTACGTTAACACTCGCGATAAATGAGGAGCTTCATAACTTGTACTCTTCTCCAATTATAATTAGAATGATCAAGTCAAGGAGGATTCCCCACCGCGACGGCCCAGGTTCGATCCCGGGTCTGGTCAAGTGGGATTTGTGGTGGACAAAGTGGTGCTGGGGCAGGTTTTCTCCGAGTACTTCGGTTTCCCCTGCCAATCTTCATTCCACCAATTGCTCCACAATCACCCTCACATATCATCTGCGGCTGGTACAATAGGCCAGAAGTGGCCGCAGTACAAGGGACTTAGTCCCACCACACTAGCATTAAAAAAATACTGTTTCTAATATCGGTACTTAAAATTCCATACTTCGCATCGAAAATGAGTCACATACCTTAAAACACCACAGTGAAACCAGTCACTGGAGAGACAGCGCGAAGAATTAATTAATTAGGCAGAAATTTTCTAGTTATAATCATCTTCATAGAAAATTCTTCCAGATGCGGTTTTCACTTCTTTGGATTTTGTGACAATTTTTTTTTTTCAAAGTACGGTCGTCCTTGCGTCCAGTCCCCAGCCCAGAGGACCAGGTCCCTGTATCTGTGTCCCTCAGGGACAGGGTGACCTTCTGGGACTCGCAGGGATGCGGTGCAGGTATTTTAACTAGCGTGGACACGGGGGGAGTTCCAGAAGAAAATATTGCAGCGCAAACCCCAGGGGAGGAAACATGTCGGAAGACCCAAATTCTGGGTCCAATATCGAGTCTCAGTGGGACTTTGTGGTTCAGTCCTTTGTTCATACAGAAGAAGTCTCGAGTAATAATGAGCTGTGACTCCTACAAGCAGCAACCAGCTGTGCAGTGTCACAATATTTCTGAAGTGGTATAACTTTCATTGTGCTGACGGATGGATTACGTAAGCAGGGGATTTGGTTCTGATGGCGGCTGTGGTGCTGATGATATCATTCTGCCTCTGGACAAGCACCACTTCACTAGAACTCTTCAACAAATCTACTGACAATGTGCTCAGCCTTCCTTTCAGTCCCTCTTTACTGTCATCACATAAGAATTTCCCGATGTGTGAGTTGGCCAACAGACGAGCACATCCCACGGCAGCGAAAGAAAGTGCGTTCACGATAAAAACTTCTTCGCATTACTTACTTACTTTGGAGTCCAACTGGGTCCACTCGGCACGGCGGCCACTGATTGGCCTATTGTACCTGCCCGAGTGATTATGATGGAGAATTTGGTGGAATGAAGATTGGCAGGGGAAACCGAATTACTCCGAGAAAACCTGCCCCAGCGTCACTTTGTCCACCACAAATCCCACTTGACTAGACCCGGAACCCGGGTATCCGCGGTGGGAAGCCAGCGACTAACCACTTGAGCTACGGTGCGGCCCTACTTATTTATTTACTCATGGAGCTGAGCCCTTCTTGAGGACCCGTCAATTCTGCAGCTACTCAAGAATTTCCCAGCATTTTTTGGAACGTTAAGGTTCATACCATGTTCACAAGAGCCCTCCACTGGTCCCTATCCTGAGACAGATCAAGCCAATCCATCCCTCTAAGATCCATTTTAATATTATCCACTCACCTACGTCTTGGTCTTCCTAGTGGTCTCTTTCCTTCTGGCTTTCCCACCAATATCCTATATGAATTCCTCTTCTCCCCCAATCGTGCTACATGCCCTGCCCACCTCATCCTCCTTGAGCCGATTGTCTAGAAAATGTGGGAGCCTCGACGTCTCACAACCCTATGGGTCTCCATGGCCTGTTGCAGGGATAACTTTACATTTTTAGCGTTACCTTGTACAGTTATCTCCTAAACCCTGTACGGAAGAACCAGCCGTTCTGAGCTTCCGATATCAGGTTCCTTGCTCCACGGATCACAGTAACTCTTTAGAAACTGATGCTCCTTCCGACACCCAAAAAATGCCCATTATTTATGTAACCCCGACGTTTATTACTGTCTTCACAAAAGCCTACCGCTGGAGCGAAATTTAAGGTTCATCTTAATGTTATCCTGTAAACTGTACTAACAGATGATGGAAGGTGTACTTGTGAAATTAAATCTAGGATTGCCATGGCAAAAGCTGCATTTAGCAAGAAGAAGAATATTTTTACCAGAAAATTGGACTTAAATTTGAGAAGGAAACTAGTGAAATACTACATTTGGAGCATAGCTCTGTATGGGGCTGAAACTTGGACACTTAGGGCAGTAGATCAGAAACATCTGGAAAGTTTCGAAATGTGGTGTTGGAGAAGGATGGAGAAGATCAGTTGGACCGATTATGTGAGAAATGAAGAAGTGTTAATTAGAGTCAGTGAGCAGAGGAATATCCTACATGAAATAAGAAAACGGAAGGCTAATTGGATTGGTCATGTTTTACGCAGAAACTGCCTTCTAAAAGAAGNAAAGACAGAGGGGCGGATAGAAGTGACCAGAAGACGTAAGAAGATGCTGGATGACCTTGGGGACAGAAGAGGATATTTTCATTTGAAGGAGAAAGCTCTAGATCGCATCAAGTGGAGGAACTGTTTTGGAAGAGACTGTGGGCCTGTCGTCTTGACAGATTACAGATGAATGAATGAATGAATTAAACTGTACATATATTTCCTAAGTGGTTTCTTCCTTGAGGTGTTCCTCACCAAAATTTTGTTAAGCATTCCTTATCCACCATTAGTGCTGCAATTTTTGTCAATTTCATCCGCCTAGTAATCTCACATTCTCAATACACACGATATATATATATACTTCATCTTTGCTTCCTGCTGTGCTACAGGCTGACGGTTCTTATTGGCTATCTACACATCAGTGACTTAACAACAAAATGAAACAGACTATTATCAGGAAACATTTATTTGGTTATAATATACCACTACATGTTTCGATCTGGACAGATAATCATCAGGTGAATTCGAAATAAATAATCACAGTCATTGAACTGCAAGTTAATATTAACATGAATTTCTATAACCACAATAAATTAAACGTGACACTGCTGTCTGTTTTATCGTCAAGCCATTGTTGAGCACGAGGTCACTATAGACCGATCGTCCAATATGTTTGGGTGTGCCGCCCAAGGTGACAAACAACGAAGCAATCAAACAAGAAAAGAAACAAACGAAGGAGCCAAAAAGGAAAAATAAACAGATAAATAAGATATAAATAAATATACATAGACATGCGTAGATACATGATACATAGACTCACAACTATACAATAGGCCTAAGGTATAAAAAAAGGTAAAGTTGTCCCTGTGCTTAACTAATTAGGTACTACGCAATGAATGCGTATGGGGAAGTGGGTGTATAGATCCACGTATTCTTGACCTCGGATACTAGTTGGAGGTGACTTCACGCACCAGCCCCTTTACCTCCAGAGAAACAATCCCGGTACCGATTGGATAGGAGGCTGGGCGGGCCCCAGAACCGGTTTGTAGGACGTGGAGAACAGAGAAATCTTGCCTTTACCGGGACTCGAACTCCAATCTCTCTGCCGTCCAAACTGTAGCCGACTCATTGAACGCTTATGAATGTGTGCATGTACAGAATGAAGTGAATGAAGACTATTTGAATGTCTGTAGTCGGAAATTCCTGACGAGGTCTGAACACTGTAGTACCTCACACCGCTGCCTCGTCTTCTCTGTGACCCTGACAGACACTCACTGTGTTACGTGGCGTACCGAGTGTGGGTACGTGAGTGTGTTGACCAATCAGCCGTATCAGCAGTGTTACGAGAGGATGACTTCCGGAAGACATGCAAGGCCGTCGACATCACTTGCAGCGCTGGTCTAACTCGGCGCGCGTATCTGCTACAAAGTTCGTACCGGAAGCACTGCCTCTCCTTCCGGTATGATCGTACTCATCCTTATTGCATTTAATTCGTCCAGGCGAAGATACGAATGCAGAGAGAGCGGTTCCTGATGGCACTAAATTCTGTAGCAGGTTTGGGCCAATGGCGACGTTTAGAATCGTGGATCGTACGAGAAAAATTATGTAGTAATTAAAAACTGTTGAGTACAGATTGCTGTCCCTGGCACGTGACGCCGTGTTAATTGGTAGAGAGGTACCAACATTTCGAAGGAACCTGCTATCTCCATCTTCAGGAATACGAGCAAGAGTTGAAGAAGAAATATGGCGAAATAAAATTATGTAAATTATTGTGACGTGACGCCTGAAAGCCGGAATAGTGGAGCCAGAGTAAACGTTTATTGCTAGGCAACGATTCGGTAAACAGACTCCAGCGGCAAAGAATACGTAAGCAAAAATCGAAGCATTGTTGGGCTATAACGGTGGAAACGGTGTTTTCTGTTGGGTCCGCCCCGAGGCTATATAACGAGGATCGCAGACCAGCTGAGGGATAATTGAGGGAGTCTCTTCAGGCGGAGTCGAAGATGATTGAGAAGAGATGGCAGCGAGTTAATTGAGTTGCAAGACTATATAAGAAGACTTCATGTTTTGCAGCTATAGTGAGACTGGTATAATTACTGTGCTGAAATCCGTTGCCAGGATACGACTAGTGAAGACTAATGTGTGTGTAACGGTGAACTCTAAAGTGTGTATCAGCCCTGGGGTCGACTCAGCCTCTAACAAAAATGAGTACCAGGAATCTTCCTGGAGGGTAAAGGGCGGCCGGTGCGCAAGGCTGACAGCCTTACCGCCATCTATGAGCCGATTGTCTAGATAATGTGGGAGCCTCGACGTCTCACAACCCTATGGGCCTCCGCGGCCTGTTACAGGGATAGCTTTACCTCTTTATCTTTAAAAGGCTCGTTGTTTTGTTCACAGAAGTTCGTCTTACATACTGAGCTATTTCTATTAATTTTATTTAAATTCTTCACGTCTATTTCTCTTAGAGTCATTATAAATATTATAACGAAAATGTTATAGACCTGTGTGTCTGCGTAGTCATTAATTTTGAGATAATTTTTGATGAGCTGAGTAAACTCATATTACAGACTGACGATGGAATTGCTGCAAAAAAATCTGCAATCTGATGAAGGCAGCGAGACGGCTGGAATTAGGAGAATTTGCGTCATTCTGAGTGCAGAGCCCATCAATGTTGTACAAGCTACACACTTCACTTCTATACCCTTTTTTTCTTTTTACTTTGAACCTTAACTCGAGCACTTTGTGTGGCACTCAAAGTTAAACAGAACCTTTTACTAGTTGAGCTGACAGGAAAAAAACGTGGCTTTAAAACGGCTACAGGCCTTGCATCTACACGACAGCATTTCATACGTATAACTAAGCGGTTCAGGATCAGTTCGCGAATATCGAAGTGAACTTCTCAAAACTGACGGCCCTGTTTGGCTGACACATCCACAAAATGTTGCGAAGTACACATTCGTTAATTTCGAAAGAAACTGTGAAGAACTCGTGAACGTGTTCACATGAACTGCATTCATATTTTAATATGTAGAGCTTCCCGCTTACACTTCCATTACTTCCGAAATGAAAAGACATCTAGCGTAAATTCATTTGATAAAAATAATGCAATTATTCATATGGTTCCTAGGGGTCATATTCAATCATATTCCAACAGTGTCTTTTATTGTCGCGTGCGTATCCACCCAATCGATTCTGTTCTGGTAACAGAAAGTTCATTACTGTTTTCTTAAGCTCCATTCTAATGGCATCTCTCTATAGAATTGGCGGTGAGCGGTTGCCACTCTTGACTTCGCCTTCGGGAGGCCTCAGGTGACCCCCCCCCACACTTCCTCTGAGTGAATTCTGAGTTAGTATCCTGAACTATACCACGAACTTTTCAGTATCCGTCATAATACATAATCCACAATTCTCCTGTTATTAGATATTATGCAGTGTATACAGTTGACAAATCGTTGTCAAACAAGGTAATACACACATAAGCACACGCTTAATGTGGCCCAAGTTTTGAACCTCTTTTTTTTTCAACATTTTCCTTCCCACCGTGATGTAATTATCCCTTATTGGCGTGGGGCCCGTAGATTGCGTATGACCTATTTCTGATCTGCAGTAGTTCACACATGTTCGCATCATTGCAGCACCTGATAACTCAGCGCGCGATACTTAATTATGTATCTAGCCAAGAGATGGCAGCACCATCTTTGTTTATCAGCAACGAGGAGAAATGCATAGCGCGACCTGCACTTCTGAACCAGCCAGCTGCACGACATACGTTTCGGCAGGCACGCGATGCGTCTGTTGCACTGTGTAGAACTGTCCTAGTGCAGCGAGATCACAATTCAGTGACGTTGAGATGTCGTGAACGAGGGACATTCATCCGAAGTCACGGAATGAATGTGAGAAGTAGTGACAGACTGCAGTGATTTAGTTTTGTAGTCTTCCTGCTGCTTCCAGTGGACGAGTGTTTGACATTAGTGCACTGTAACACAGTAGTGCTATTTCTTCACACTAAATATTTATTTTGTTTTAAAGCCAGTTTCGTTATTAAACATACTGGATATTTTTTAAAATATCGAAAATTTTGGTTTATTGAGAAGCTACGGGATGGTTGTACCTTACGTCAGTTGATATTTCAATTATTCTAAAGTGGACTTTGTTGAAATATTTATATTTTATTCAGAAATGGGAGTGGTAACACACCATAGTACGCAAGTCCTAATGTAATTGTGAGGGGAAGTCGGAAGTACAGCTTTTAGGGTGGGGCGCGACGTTATACACTCAGAAGTGTTACAGACACAATATACAACTCTTCTCTACGTAATAAAACTTAACACTGAAGTTGTGTGACATTCTATTGCTTCTAGCAAGTGATAGGCCTATTTCAGGTCAACTGAACTCGCTCGTGAAAGTACTTTACGTGTAGTTTTACATTTCCTCAGATAAAATAGGGTTACCACCAGAGTGCAGTGCCAGAAACCAGAGTTTCAAATACCAAACAGAGGAGCAGCGAAACTTCAAGACGAAACACTTCACTATTGCTGGAACTTGCACTGACATCATTCACCAGAAGGTTCCACGTTCGCAAGAGAAAATGGCACCCAAGTTACTGAACATTCTGTTGCAGAGAAATGACAGCAATATTGAATGGGGGTTCCAACTTTCAGGTGGAAAAGATCTGGCGAAACCATTGATCATTGTCAAGGTACGTAATTAGGTTTGGAATTTTTCCAAAGGCAGATAAAATGTCGGTACAGAACGTGTATTACGCTGAAACTGCAATTAGGGGGCGTGCTAGCACTGGTAGGGCCTAACAGACCCAATTCTGGTAACACATGAGACCCTATCCCTCATACAGTAAAACGATTATGTTGAGTAGGTGATGAATCAGGTGATAAACGTCTGGCTTGAATTGCTAACAAATACTATTATAGTTTTCTCTTAAACAATACAACAACAAAGTTGCGTCAGTGAGTTAAAAGTTAAAGTTATCTCTGTAACAGACCGTGGAGGCCCATAGGGTTGTGAGACGTCGAGGCTCCCACATTTTCTAGACAATTGTCTCACAGATAGCGGTAAGTTTGTCAGCCTTACGCGACGTACCGCCAGGAAGATTCCTGGTAGTCATTTTTGTTAGAGGCTGAGTCGACCCCAGGTCCATAGTGCGGCTGGAAGGCATCAGGTCAGTTGAAAAATCCAATGACTTCATTGCGAATCGAGCTAGTGACATTACTGCTTGTAGCATAGCGCCTCAATCAACCATGGTACCCTGCGCCAAAAGTTGGGTCAATGTTAAAACGAAATTACACGGTTATGTTGGGTACGCGGCAATTGACATTACACTTTTATCCCAAACAACAAATGGCGCAGCTGAGTCAGTAAGAGATCAGATTAAATTTATTTTCTTAAACAATAAAACAACGTAATTGGTTCTTTAATGAACCTGATCAGACTTCTTTCCTCAATCATAAAGCGATGGAGTTGAGCCCCTTAACAAACCAGGGCACACAGTTAAATCAAATCGGTAAACAAAACCGTGTTACCCTTCTCTTGTAAACAATAGAAACAACAAAGTTGTGCGGATAACAAATCAGCTTACATGGCCAAATTGAGTAGGCAACAAACAGGATTTCATTTCTGTCATAAAGAGTCGAGTGGCAAAGTTGAATATGCAACAATTTAAACTATATTTCTCTCCACAATCTGCAACAAATAGGATCGCATTTCACTCCTAGACAATAGAAGTTCAGAGTGTTTTTAAATTGTCTTCTAAACAACTGAAAGTCTAAGTTGGATCAATTACGAACAGTAGCCACGTTAGTTCAAGGAAATTAAATATTGACTTGCTTTTGAAGTGATGCTTGATGCTAGAACAATTACAGAGAGGATATTTCTGAGCTTGCCGCTAATCGCTCAGCCAGTCCAGTAGAAAAGAGAGAAAAGCTTCTCGTGTCAACTCGTTCCGCGCATGCGAGAACCCGTAAGAATTTGACTAACACAGATGCCAACAAAACACAAACAAAACCCACCCACACTACAACTATTTGCCGGCACGGTATCTAGGAAGATAACGCCAAAGTACAAGTAGACTACAAAACAAGCTGCTTAGGATGAGGATGTGGCCTGGATTGGACTGGCTTAGGACAGTCTCCCGTTGTGGGATCCTGTCAATGTGGCAGTGAACTTTATAGTTTCATGAAAGTTCGGGATTTTTTTCGACCAACGGTTTGATTGTGGGCTCACGAAGAAGGACTGTTCCACACACATTTATTAAGGAAATTTATTGAATCATTGCGTCAATCTAAAATCACAAATACCGACAATCAAACTCTCATAACCTACAAATAGGATGTCATTTTGACAGCTGTGACATTGAGAATGGACTTGGTACGCGGAGAATATCTTTTTTCGGGGTGCAAGAAAAATCGAAAAGACGAAAATTAAGCGATTAAATAAATAATAGTAATTGTTTAAGAAATTCTTGTTCTGAAACTCGAAATCTGTGCTTGCTAAAATATTGTTCATGACAGGAAATATTCAAAATTATTTTTAGCAAGAAATTCCAACTTGTAGAGGATCAGTTGCAAAAATGATCAGTTTCAATGGAAAGACATGAAGTTCGCTTGAATATTTACCCGGGAAATTTGAGCGGTATAATTATTATTTATGACTTCCATCTTCTTGCGTCACAATTCGGTCTCCATCTGTACTCCATACGCCACAGCTGCGACACCGTTTCTGCGCACAATTTATAACTACCGAATTGGCATGCAGGATCTGTAGTACAGCAAGAGCTTGTTGGAACTGAGGCAAATTGCCAGGATACTGGGGGGGGGGAACCCTTGAAGGTCCTGAGTACGATAAATGTATGATAACCGAATCGTAAAATGACCTTTGTTCGTTCTTTGAAAGAAATGCAATAAAACAAATAAGTTTGATACAACACGAACCGAATAGAAAACAAAAATTGGAGGGGGCAGAAACAGCAAAGTAAAGTGAAGTAAAAAGTAAACGTAGCCCTGTAACAGGCCGTGGAGGCCCATAGGCTCCCACATTTTCTAGACAATCGGCTCATAGATTGCGGCAAGGTTGTCAGCCTTACGCGCCGGCCGTCCTTTACCTCCAGAAAGATTCCTGGTACTCATTTCTGTTAGAAGCTGAGTCGACCCCAGGGCCATAGTGCGGCTGGAAGGATTAGGTCAATTGAAAAAAAAAAATCACCAGTTCGGGATTCGATCCAAAGTCATTTTATAAGCATGCGTACAAAATTAAGGGGGATCCAGAGCCAGATGGCGAGGTGATCCCATAAGCCTGCAGATAGAAGCAGAAGAGGGCTGGCCTGTCCGTCTGTCTGAATGCAGGAAGGAGACTACGGGGCAAATTCCGTTTTGTCCGTGTGCATACCCTCTGCCTTACAGAAAGCTGCTATCGACTTTCTCAAGAAGATAGAGCAGGTCTAGTTAACTTTTGCAACATTTACTTACTTCTCTAGCGGGTACAAGAAACAAGATCAGTTCTGATGCGTCTCTCTCAACACATCTGTAAGGTTAGAGGCAAAGTCATCCCTGTGCTTATCTAATTAAGCATCACCTCATGAAGACGTATAGGGGCGTAGAGGTGTAGCTCCAACATTCTTAACGTCTGCACTAGATGGAAGTGAATGGTCAGCTTAACGTCCCTACAGGGAAGCAACCCCGCATTACTCATTGTATGGTAGGATGGTTGTGCCCTAGTAGGGGGGGGGGAGCTTGACGCTTACTTACTTACTCATGGAACTGAGCCCTTCTGGAGGAGCCGCCAATTCTGCAGCTACTCAAGAATTTCCCAGCATTTTATGGAACCTGAAGGTTCATTACCGTGTTCACAAGATCCCTCCACTGGTCCCTATCCTGAGCCAGATAAATCCAACCCATACCATCCCATTCTATCTCTCTAAGATCCATTTTATTATTGTCCGCCCATCTATATCTTGGTTTTCCCAGTGGTCTCTTTCCTTCTGGCTTTCACACCAATATCTTATACGCATTCCTCTTCTCCCCCTTCTTGTTACATGCCCTGCCCATCTCATTCTTCTTGACTAGACGCTGTGGAGTAAATAATATTTAGCCATGTCAGGAATCGAACACTGATTCCTCGGTCGTCCAATCCGTAGCCCAGTCGCTGTTTTCAACAGATCCATATTAAAAAAGAAAGAAAGACGTTTCGGAGAAGAGGACGAAAGAAAGAGAATGAGAAGGGAGTAGGAAAGGAAGAACCAACAGGAAGCGGTGCGGGGCGAGGCACGCCTGTACGTCTCAGAATGCCAGACTCTTGCGAAAAGTGGGTCACTGATTGTTCCTATTTATAGGCTTATGGAGACGGTCGCGTCGATTTCGTTAGCTCCCGGGCTGCCAGATCACAAGCCCGTAACCTACTGACAGGCCTCAGATACTGAGGCAGCCGAAGAAATACTCTTGATTAGCTGGAAACCGTGGGCTCATTCCCGCAATCAGCAAGGGCCAGCCACTGTACCCTGTCTTCATGATATATTTCCACAAAACATGTTTAAACTTCGAGACGAGCATCTTTTCTAGGGGTAAGAGGGCCACAGCGTGAAGCTAGCCACTCATCTCCATCAATCGATTGCTGAGATTAATTCGCGGAGCTTTACCATCTTTCTCGCTATCCGCTTTCGTGGTGTGGCGCGTGTAAAGCGGGGAGTTTTACCTTTTACTGCCGAGTTTCATGTTCCCCAACAGTAATTTCGTGATCCTACTTGTCCCACGTGTTCTCAGTCTTCTTACTTTCATCGCCGTAAGATGGTTAGGCGAAGCGAAAAGTTATGCACTCCTTTTATATAATTCCAAGTTAGTTCATCTTTATTAGGTCCAAACGTTGTCCTTAGAACCTTATTTTAGCATGATAATCAGAGACCAAGTTACATACTTATTACAAAGCAAGAGGCACAAGTTGAATCATATGTGCAATGTATTTATAGTAAAGACGGTAAAATACCCATTCACTCACTCACGGAGCTGAGCCCTACTTGAGGAGCCGCCAATTCTGCAGCTACTGAAGAAGTTCCCAGAATTTTATGGAACCCGAAGGTTCATTACCGTGTTAACAAGAGCCCTCCACTGTCCCTATACTGAGCCACATCAATCCAATCTATACCATCCCATCTTATCCTCTCTAAGATCCATTTTAATATTGTCCACCCACCTACGTCTTGGTCTTCCCAGTGGTCTCTTTCCTTCTGGTTTTCCCACCAATATCCTACATGCATTCCTCTTCTCCCCATTCGTGCTACATGCCCTGCCCACCTCATACTCCTTGATTTGACCATTCTAATTATACTTCGAGAAGAGTACAAGTTATGAAGCTCCTCGTTATGCAGTTTTCTCCAACCTCCTGTCACTTCACCCTGAGTGAACTATATGAGACATTTTCAGAGTTTATTCATCTAAGTGTGCGTGTAGTAGACAGCAGTAATATCTGCAACTAACCCCATGATACGGTCTTCCTTGAGCAGCTCAAATTTATTCAGGATACAATAGTTATGAAAATAATATCAGATTTGAACTAACAGCCAAATGAAATCCACACATGTCCTCTGTGATGGGACTGCAAGTTGGGCCTACTGAATAGTGAAGCAGGGTGCACACATGTTTTCCCGTGATAAGTCAAAGCAAGCAGCTATCAGAAATCTGTCCACACTCTTTCACA